TGCTGTCTCTGAGCCATCAATAATTTATTATAATTTTATTTTGTGTTTGCTTAGTGAGACCTAGCTTCTTATTTTGTTTTGTTTTGATATGCCCAAATAGGCTGCTCATGTGCACTAGTTTGATTTTTGACACCTTTTGATCTCTAATGTCCTGTCACCAGGTAGTTAGTTCTGTAAGTAAGTCTGTGCACACAGGAGTCTGTTAAATTTTCCTGTACGGGTTCAGCTTGGGTGTTCAAGCAGTCGGTCACCAAGTGTGTGATGCAGGCTCTCACCCCCAGTCCTAGAGAGGCATGGGTGATTGGTGCAGGCACTGGACTCTGGCTGTGGTAGGGGATCACGCGCTGAGCCAGGCAGGGGGCTGACGGCTGCCCCTGAGAGTCTGAAAGAAAAGCGTGTCCCTATTCTCTAGGGTGAATAGGTAGGTGAGTTTTGCAACCGGGCTAAGAGCACCCCACACTGTTGGTTGCAAAGACTCGAGGGAACCACTTTTTCTTGAACTCCTGTAGCAGGTGACTAGTCTTTTAAGGAACTACCACCAGTCCTCAAGACCCTGCTGTAGATTGATAAAAGTGCCTACTTGAGGGGCAGGGCTGTTTCGAGGATCACAAATCTGCCCGTTCACAGCTGAAGCAGTTGAAGTTAAACTTCAGATATTTGCCCTGTTATACTGTGGTAATGAGGGCTAATGCTGTTGAGATGGGTCCCCACAAGTCTATACACGGGTGTATGGCACTGAGAGTCTGTGGACCCCTGATTTCTATGGCCAGCAAAGGAGCTGTGCCGACCGTGTGTTCCTGGCCTAAGGGAGCCAGCAGCTTATTTGTTCCCTCTCCAAGGCCAGAAGAATGGGTCAGGGCGCCTTTTGGGATCTACTTCTGGCCCAGTGGACACCTGGTGCAGAGCAGGGATGGAGGTTGTAAAAGCAAGAGAGGTTATTCCCAAATCCGGTGCAGAGTGCGGAGGGAGGAGATAAAAGGGAGAGAGTTTTTTCCTAAATCCGTTTGAGAGCACGGAGGTAGGAGGTAAAAGGGAGAGAGGTTTTTTCCAAATCCGGCATAGAGCGCAGAGGTAGGAGGTAAAACGGAGAGAGATTTTTCCAAAATGGGCTTTTTTTTTTTTTTAAATTGCCGCGAAGGGGTGCGCACATGTACTTATCCTAGCCTCTTGGGAGGTGCTCTTCACTGGTTCGGAGTGTCCCAGCAGAATCTCTGCTGCTGGGTCTCTCTCAATGTGGAAACTGCTTCTTGAGCGCGTGCACAGCACAACTGTTTGCCTGCTTCACCGCGGCCCGGTGTGGCTTTGTCTCTGCAGTTTCGCTGCCGTGGCTCTAGCGCTCCTCACCTCTTCCAAACAGTCTTCCTCTCTGGTATGACTCAGATAGATTTCTTAACCTTGTCTTGTTCAGGGCTGCCAGATGTTCACATAGAATCAAATCACTTGTTTTTCCAGGTCTTTGTTGTAAGAGGGATATAGGAAGTGTTTAACTAGTCTGCCATGTTGACCACGCCTCCTCTAGGGTCATATTTTCATGAGACATCTCAGTTAATTTTCTTAATAACTTGTTTAGTGCTATTCTACCTCCTAGTTTGTTGCATAGTACCTGGGGTGTGAAAAGCTAGCAAGTGGCCACCCAAAGCACAGCAATTGTTCTCTATTTGCATGGAGCAACAGAGGAAGAAGAAACATGAGGAATAGGAGGAGAATATGGAATGTGTGGCTAACTGCCTCCATGAACAACTGCCTCCTTTACCATGAGACCAGAAGAACTGGATGGTGCCTGGAACTTTATAATCAAAGATTCTATAGAAGAATCCTGATCAAAAGAGGGAAATGCTGAACAGAATTTCAAATTCTCATAGACTCCAGATTTTCTGGAGCCATGGATGCTGGATGAACCTCTGAAATTACTGCCATGAGATAATCTTTAAACCTTAAACCAAAAATATCCCCTGAAGTCTTCTTAAAACCAAGTAATAGTTTAACTTAACTAATAAAGAATGTCTGCCTTGAGCATTGTTCTCTTTCTAGATCTGTCTACATGGAATCAGATTGACAACAGCAACTCAAAAGATTAGGTAGGAAATTTAGGTGTCAGTGAGTTTATGTTAATCGGGGGAGGAACAACTCAGAAAAGGAGGGTAAGAATGGTTGCACAACTTGAAGAATGTAATCAATGTCACTGAATTGTACATGTAGAAATTTGTTGAATTGGTGTATGATTTGCTGTGTGTATTCTCAACAACAACAAAATAAAATTTAAAAAAATAGTTGAACTACTTTGAGATTTTTGATAGGAATGATTTTTTAAAACTGAATTTGTTATATTTGAATTCTGAACTATTAGCTGAAATTTGAATGTGAGTTTTCTCCAGATCAGATTGGATATGTATTTATGAAATTAATTTATTTCATCTATAAACCCATTGCTGTTGAGTGTATTCTGACTCATAGCGACTCTAAAGGACAGAGTAGAACTGCCCCGTAGGATTTCCAAAGCTGTGATCTTTATGGAAGCAGGCTACCACATCTTTGTCCTGCAGAGTGGCTGGTCATTTCGAACTGCTGACCTTTCTGTTAGTAGCTGAACCCTTGACCTACTGCGCCACCAGGCTTCTGCATTTCATCTGTTAAAAAACAAAAACCAAACCCGTTGCCACAGAGTTGATTCCGACTCATAGTGACCCTATAGGGCAGAGTAGAACTGCCCCATAGAGTTTCCGAGGATTGGCTGGTGGATTCAAACTGAAGACCTTTTGGTTAGCAGCCGAGCTTTTAACCACAGCACCACAATATTTTATTTTCTTTATAGTCTAGCTAATGTTAGAAAAATTTTGTTCCATTCTTTTTTTCCCGTTTAGGAACAATACAGAAAAGTGACTTTCTCATTTAATAGTGAAATTAGTTGATAAATATGAGCATTATGTCATAATTTAGTTGTTTAATCTCGAAGGCTTTTGGTTATGGAAAAGTAAAGCTCTGTTTGAGTTTAGGAAACACATTAGAGAGAATTGAAGGCAATACGTACCGTCTCCGTCCCTACCTTTGTGCCTTATACTGCCTGATTTCACATTTTTAGCACTAAGGAATTGATAAATAAGCCAGGAAGATTTGCATAAGTGTAGTCAAGTGACTTCTTGATCTATTTTGTATAAATTGGAATCATGCTTCTTTATTAAGTATATGGAAGTTTGTGTAATTGCAAAACTTCTTTCTCTCTTGGCAGAAATAAGAGACCTGATGTTAGAAAAATAGCCCATCGATTCCTGGTGGATTGTATGAATCCTATAATATTAAATTATGTTAAAAGAAAGAGATTCCATCAAATATTTCTTGAGGAGATGCCCTGGAGATCTCAGATGAACCTGTATCTGGCAAACGCACACTTCAACCTGCTTTTACAAAAGCTAGGGGAGCGTATGAAGATGAAATTTGGTACTTCACAGGCAATGGTCAGGTATAGTACATTATCAATGTACAATAATTTTTTTAATGCTGTGAACATGGATTATATTTTTATGTGCAAGGCTGTAATGCTTATAATAACCTAAAAGAGGTTTACAGAATGCCTCTATCTTCATACTAGCCATTGATGTATTTCCTAGTTTCTTATTTAAGAATCTAAAGTGCTTATGAAGTTCTAATTTGCATATATCTTGAATGTGTTTATTAATGTAGCTGTCAGTGCCAGGGTAAAGTGTAACTCTAAAAGGAATTTAATATGAATTGTATAATAACTTTAGATATTAGTAGGCATTAGGCAAAACTCTGTTTCATTTGGAAGTGTATTTTACCCTCTATGAACAGAGCCCTGGTGGCACAGCAGTTAAGCGTTTGGCTGCTAACCAAAAGGTCAGCAGTTTGAATCCACCAGTTGCTCCCTGGAAACCTTATGGGGCAGTTCTGCTCTGTTCTATAGGGTCGCTATGAGTTGAAATCAACTCGACGGCAACGTGTTTTTTTTTTTTTATAAACAGACATCGTATTTTCTCATACAATGTCAACTTTCTATCACTAATTCAACAGACATTTTTGAGCTCTTATTGAGTGTCTTTGGCTAAGTGCAAAGAGCTCTTGTGGTGCAGTGGTTAAGTGGTTGGCTGCTAACCGAAAGGTTGGTGGTTTGAACCCACCAGCCGCTCCACAGGAGAGAGATGTGGCAGTCTGCTTCCTTAAAGATTACAGCCTTGGAAACCCTTTGGGGCAGTTCTACTCTGTCCTATAGGGTCCCTATGAGTCAGAATCAACATAATAGCACACAACAAAATGTAACCATTAAGAAGATGATAGAGAATCATTCATTCAAACAACATTTGTTGAATACCTATTAGATGCATAACACTGAACTAGGCACAGTGGGCACTATATTCGTTACCTATGGCTGTTGTAACAAAGTACCACAAACTGGGTGGCTTAAAAGAACAGAAATTCATTGTCTCACATTTCTAGAGGACAGAAGTCCGAATTCAGGTTGTTGGCAGGGCTGAGTCCCTCGGAAGGCTCTAGGAAAGCATCCTTTCTTGCCTCTTCTAGATTTTGGTGGTTGCTCATAATCCTTGGCATTTCTTAGTTTATAATGCATCACCCTAGTCCCTGCCTCTGTTGTCACATGGCCTTCTTTACTGTATGTCTCTGTGTCCCTTCTCTTATAAAGACACCAGTCAATGGATTCAAAACCAAAACCAAACCAGTTGCTGTTGAGTTGATTCTGACTCATAGCAACCCTATATCCCACCTTAATCCAGCCTGATCTCATTTTAACTTGATTAAATCTGCAAAGACTATTTCTAAACAAGGTCACATTCACAGGTATGGGGGTTTGGACTTCAACGTATCTTTTTAGGGGACAAAATTCAAGTCACAACAGGTATACAAAGGTGAACAGGCTATACCGGCTATATATACAGACTGTAGTCTTGTAGGGTAGATAACAAATGTTCACAAATAACTGTAGCTAATGGTAAAAAGGGAAGTACACATAAAGTCTTCTTTGTTCCTGGGAAGGAGGCTTTCCTATGGCTGGGACAAAGGAATGGTTTCATAGGGAGCTGGCATTTGGCCTGGGTCTTAATGGATAAGCAAGATTTAGATATGTATAGAATAGAGAAGTAGACATTCCTGGTAGTTGGAAGAACATGAGTCAGAGTCCAGGTAGGAAACAGAGTGTGAGAACCACAAACAGTCTGACAGGAATCTAGGACTTATGAAAGTGAGTGGAATGAAATAATTAGAAAAGTAGGCCAGTACCAGATCATGTATAGTATTAAATGTCTATTAAACCTGAGCTTTATTTCATATACAGTGAAAGGCTATGGAGGGTTTTGAGCAGGGCCATGATAAGAAGTTTTTCTGGCAGCAACATATCAAATGAATTGGAGGGAGGAAAGACTTGGTACAGGGATATAAATTAAGAGGGTATTTATTCCAGTAATCCAGTAAGAAAAAGTGAAGGTTGAAATCCCCAGTGAACTTGGTCCCAGTTTTGTTTCTCCAGTATTTTGGTTAAAATCACCACCAGACTGAACCTTCACAAAAGTGTCTCCAGTTAGATCCTTTTGCTATGGGCTATACCAGACCTGCATTTAAGATGCAGTTAGCTTGCCTAACCAACAGAGAAGGCTTTTGGCAAAGTGACTCACTCGTGGGGCCATGCCAGGGAAAGTGGCTCAGACCAGTGGGCCTTCCTTACTGTCCTCTGAAAAAGAGATGTTTTCTCCGAGCTTCTTTACATACCTGACCATTCATGCATGATTACTTGGCAGCACAGTAAGACAATGGTCGAATTTGTGTCAGGGTAATCTGGTACTAAATTCAATTTTATTAAAACTGTTATGTGTACTCAGTATTTATGTATGCGTATTTTTATGGAAGTTTATATACTGCTTAGGCCTGATTTAAAAAAAAAGAAATAACATTATTGTGGACACATTGCTCTATATATAGTAGGCATCTTCACTGAGTTGTGTTTAAATCAGGTAGCTATTAGTTAACATAAATTATTCTTTCAGAGCTCATAGAGTGAGTATGGATCTTTCATTCCTATTTTCAAAGGCCCTTGCAGGGAAATAGATGTTGTTAAAATTCCTCAGAGCAAAGTGACGTTTTATAATTTTAAAAGTTAATGGGAAAATGTTTGGTTTTGGACAAGTGTCAGAATGCTTTGTGATCCAAGATTTGTGAGCACTAACTCACAAATGTTTTAAAACTAAAAGTAGATTGTATTTGACAGGTTTAATTCAATTTTACTTACGTTGCTATTTTAATGTGATTTTTTTCCCCCTTGCAGTTTCCGATCATTTGATCCTAATATGTTCTCATTATATAATTCAGGAACAGTATTACCAACAGCAAAATTTACGGTAGAAAGTTACAGAGCAATGCTTGATTTCCTTCTTACAGCTAAAAAAAGAAGGGCCAACTTACCATCAGGTAAAATAAATATGTTAATATACTATCAAATTGCCTCTAGGTTTTTATTTACAAACAAAATGCAACACACACACACACAAACACATAGAGGTACACACACCATTTTCCAAAGATCCAGAAATTCAGATGAGTTGTGATACTTGATAGGAGATTCTTGTTCTCTCTTTTTTGTTTTTTTTTAAAAAACGTTCTATGTTTTTGTGACCTCATCATATATATTTGGAAATATCTATGTTGTCTTCTGACCTAAGCCAGTTTGGCTGTTCAGCAAATATAATGTTCTTTTGTTAAATATTGGTAGCCTCCGGTGGTTCAAGAGGGGTGAGGCATTGCTACCATGTGTTATGTTTTAGTGGAAACAAGTCTCAGAACAGATTCTGTCAAGCATATTAATGCCAACAGGCACAAAAGCAGTCTTCCAGCCTATTCTGTATTCAGGGTAGTCTCACTCTTGTCCTAGGATCTCCAACTACCTTCCAGGAAAGCTTGCTCCATGATGAATGCAACAATGTGCTGATGGCAGGGCCAAGTAGACCTCTCTCTTTCCTCTCTGTTACCTGGTTGATGACAGGCACCTCTGTGAAGTAGAGGGATATGGGTGAATAGAGCTCTAGATCTGAAGTGCTACAGTGATGTCTTTGATCTGCTGGACTTGACTGATTGTTATACCCCGTTCTTGCAAAGATGATGGAGCCTGGACACTATTCCTAACCGTACTCATTTCCTAGGGCTGCCTTAACAAAATGCTACAGACTAGGTGGCTTATAAGAACAGAAATTTTTTGTCTTGCAGTCCTGTAGGCTAGCAGTCCAAATGAATGAGTCACCTTTCTTGTCTCAGCTTCTGGTAGCCAAAGGCATTCCTTAGCTTGTAGATGTACCTTCACAAGGCTGTCTTCCTCATGTGTCTCTCTGTGTATCTTCTCTTCTTTTGTAAGGACACCACTCAGATTGAATTAGTACCCCCCTCCTTCAGTATGACCTCATGTTAATTTAACTGATAACATCTTCAGTAACAGACCCTATATCCAAACAAGTTCACGTTCACAGGTACCAGGGAATAGGACTTCAACATATTCTTTTGGGGGGCACAGTTTAATCCATAATGCTAACTGAACACCTATCTTGAATACCACTCATTTCACAAATAAAAATCATTTCTAATATCTTCATGCTATTACAAAATCTCTTATATAGATTGTTAATAATGGTAATTTTAGTGCTATGTAACTTATTGCTGATTGTGGTACTTCATATGTTAGTTAACTGCCCCTGGAGTGTTGACTCACATTTGGGGTACTTTACGTACTTTCTAACTTTTTGTAGGGTATATATTAGGTGTAACTGTATCTACATGTCATAATGTATATATTCAAGTATTTGAAAGTAAATTCCATAGATATTGAAAGAGTCTGATTTTTGCTTATAAGTTTTTCAAAAACTGACTCCCTACCTAAGACCTACCATGAAATTGGCAATAGAATATTCTAGTATTGAGATTTATTACCTAATGCAGAGTTCTAAGAGAAGATTTATGCCAGGAGAAATGCTCTGTGCTTTTATGCCACACCAGTAGGGGAATGAGTGGCCAGGCCATTCCATGACACAAGTCCAGGGGTGCCACTCACTTTCTATTTTATGTGTCCTGGGAGTGACCTGTAATGTGGGAAATTTAGGAACAGTGGGATCCTTCAGTGTTTGCTCAAAAAACATCTACATTCCTGCCTCTGCATTGTTCCTTTTGCCATCTCCCTTGCCTGGGATGTTCTTCTCTATGTTCTTCCCACAAGCTGAGTCGTTCCCGTCCTTTAAGACCTAATGTAAGTACCTCTTTTTCTAGAAGCTTTTCTTGGTTCACTGAGTCCGTGATAATCCTGTCCTTTCTCCAAACTTAGTTAGCATGAAGTTTCTGAATTGCTCGTTTGACATGTATCACCTGTATTGTGTTTTCTGGAACTTAATTCTCTATTTTCAATAATATTATGCTTTATTTTTATATTGTAGATGCTGATGAATTTTCTGTGTTTATTAATTTCAAAATAAATGACAAAGATAATCCCAAGACACAAACAGGTTCTGACTCAGACTGTCAATCAATTATTAGTTCTAAAGAAAAGGACCGAGCAGCAAATTTGTGTCTATTGGACCATTTTATGAAAATCTTTTTATACTGCAGGAGAGCAATGGTAATGTGGTCATTTTGATCTGCTAATATTGTAGACCTAAATCTCATTCCATAAGCTCAGGTGTGTAAGATATATTGTATTTATTTATTTTCTATACATAATTTTGATTTCAACTTTGAGACTGTATCTCGCCAGATTTAGCCTTAGTCAATTTTGAGATTTGCCTGTCATGGTACTGAGGTCTCATGCAGTGTCAAGGCCTCAAGGAGAGGGAGTGAGCTTCCTTACCATGCAGTCATGCATCCATCCAGAGCCGAGTGGCTGGGTGGCCATTGTCCCTGTCCACACACTCCCTGCTTGCAGATACCTCTCTGCTGCTCTCTTGCCACAAGTGAGACATGGGATTCTCTGGTGAAGCCAGGGATTCCTCTCCGGGGTCTTGCTCCCTCCAGGAGTATTGTTCTGGGAACCACAGACCCCCCTCTTTCCTCTAGCACAGAGGAAGGTCATTCTAGCTTAGAGGAAAATCCTGCTCCGTTCCCCCTCCCAGACCTCCTACTTCTGCAGGCCATCTGTGTGTTCCCTCTTTTCCTTTGTTATCTTATCTGATAGATTGTGAAACTCAGAATTGGAATGTTTTGCTACTAAGAAATCAGTTTCCTTTTTCTTAGAGCAAGAAAGATATAAACTTCAAACCTCTCAAGAGGTGAGGGGAAATATTGCATCTATCCTTGCCAGCCAGGAAAGGAACAGTTAAGTTTCCATATTCTACATGGAGTAGAGAGAGTGATTTTAAAAAATGTAAAGTAGACCCACATCATGCCCCTTGAATGTCACATCTTACCCTCCTTTCCTCTGGCTTCAGGGCCCTGGAGGAGCTAGGCTTTGCTCACCACTCTGAACTCAGCCACTCTCATTCAGACTTGTTCATGCTCAGCCCACTCCTGCCTCTCTGATCTTCAGAGTGCTAAGCTTGTTCCCTCTTCATCCCTCAGTTTCACCCTCCATCCTTTGTACTTGCTCTTCCCTCAATCTCAATTGTTCTCCTTCTCCCAACATCTCCACCCTTGCCACCCCCAGGCCCTAACTTCACTTGACTTTTACAGCTCATCATTCAGGTCTCTGCTCAAATGTCCCCTTGTCAAAGAGGACTTCTTTTCTGACTACTCTGCCTGAAAGAACGTGTCCTCTTACCCCCTACAGGTTCTGGCCTGTTTTCTGTCTTAGCTTTCCTTACAACACTTACTATCTCCTGAAGTTATATTATTGTCTACCCTGCTAGTGTCTGTCTCCCCTACTGAGATTTAAGCTGCACAGGAGCAGACCTAGGTTTCTGAGCTCACTGCTGTATCCTCAGCAAATAGAACACTGGAAATTTTGGAGTCAGACCACTGGTGTGCAAATCCTAGCTCACCACTTAGTAGACTCATGGCCTTGGGCAAGCTCCATGCCTCAATGTCCTCATCTGTAAATTGAGTATAACACTAATGCATACTGACTTTATAGAAGTATTGTTTAATTAAATGAGATAATGCACTGTATCTAGCACATAGTAAATGGCACATAGCAAATGATTTTAGCTGTCTTTATTATTGACATAGTATTTGCAGAAAGATGAAATTGTTCAGAGATCTGTAACTTTTGGAACTTTGGAATCTTTCGCACATTGCGTTTGTTTTAGGTTCTGGCTCATCGTGGCGGCTATTGGACTCTGCTTCAGAATTGCTGTCGGGCCTTTTGGAACTATACTCAGGAGCTACAGATACTTCTTAAACAAGCAGTCGATCTTTATAAAACATTTCCTATTAATCAAGATGGTTTCCTCTGTATTTCTGTTTTACCATTCTATATGGGAGCAGAATTACTTACTGACATGTTAATAGAGCTACAAAATATCAATTCTATTAAGGTAAGAACTTTTTGATAATTACTTTAATTCTATTCAATTAAAAATATTTTTATACCATGCAGCTTTGGATAAGTAGAAATTAATTTTTTCCTTGAGTTCCTATTTAGGTTGTCTATATTTTGTTTCTCATTATTATTTGGTTCACAATACATAACTTGCAGTGATGTTAATTAAAAATATCTCAGCCTGAAAATTTGATTGCTTAAAGGCAAAGGAAAGTAACATTTAATGGGCTACAGCTTCTCTATAAACTTATCTTAATACATCTGATCCTCACAACAATCTTTTTAACAGAGAAAGAAACAGACCCTAAGAGAAATCACAAAACCTACTGGTTGATGTTTATTCTCCTGTTTTATCTGTCTCTGTTATATTACTCCAGGTCTTATAGAATTTGCAGCCATTTTAAGTCTACCACACTGTGGTTTGAAGCATGGAAATAAAATTTAAAAAATGCAAACAAAGTAATCTAAACATGGAAAAGTAGTAAACACATAAGCACATTGAGCCATAGATAGAACATTTGTTTTAATATTGTATTGTGGGGTTTATAACATTTTAGAACTAAAATATATGCCAGCAATAGCACAAAAGACAGGGAGGTGAGATGGTATTAAACTGGTGTGAGAAAGGCCTGGTGATCTACTTCTAAAAATCAGCCAATGAAAACTCTATGGATTACAAAGGTCCAGTCTGCAACCAATCATAAAATTGGTGAAGGACCAGGCAGTGTTTCATTCTTTTGTGCATGGGGTCATCATGAGTTGGAGGCCAACTTGATGGCAGCTAACAACAGGAAGATTTTTACACTTTATATAAAGCGATACGATATAAACTCTAACTGGAATGTGGTAAGTTAAGCATACATTTTTATAAGACCTAGGATATTTACTGGAAAAAAAAGAAATATAGATAAAAATCCAATGAAATAAAAGAGAATAGTAAGTAATAGTTTATCAGGAGGGACCAGTCGCTGCAGAAGGACATCATGCTCGGTAGAGTAGAGGGTGAGCGATAAAGAGGAAGATCCTCAACGAGATGGATTGACACAGTTCCTGCAACAATGGGCTCAAGCATAAAAACAATTGTGAAAATGGCGCAGGAATGGACAGTTTCATTCTTTTGTACGTAGGTTCACTATGAGTCAGAAACAACTCGATGGCACCTAACAACAACAACACAACAAATAATAGTTAACTAAAAAGAAGGCAGGAAAGAAGGACTAGAGGAACAAAAAACACACAGGACAAATAGAAAACAAATAACAAATTGTAAACCTAACCCAATCATATCAATAATTGTATTAAATACAAATGAATTGCTCATTGTGGCGGCCATTGGACAGTGATTCAGAACTGCTGTCTGGCCTTTTGGGACTATACTCAGGAGCTACAGATAGATAAAAAGTACTTTAATTAAAATACATATATGGTCTGACTAGGTTAAAAAAGGAAGACATCCCTATATGCTGTCTGTAAGAGAAACACTTTGAATATAAAGAAACAGATTGAAAATAAAAAGATGGAAAGACATATACTATGAAAACAGTAAACATAAAAATACTGGTGATGCTATACTAATATTAGATAAAATAATCATCAAATCAAGGAGTATTAGTGGAGATAAAGGGGGACATTTCATAATGAGAAAAGGCTCAATTAGTCAGGTAAGCATATTGTTATGGATTGAATTGTGTCCCCCACAAAGATATGCTGAAGTTCCAACCTCTGTACCTGTGGATGTGGTCCTGTTTAGAAATAGAGTTTCTGAAGGTGTTATCAGTTAGGGTAACATGAGGTCATACTGGAGTAGAAAAAACCCAAACCCAAACCCATTGCCATCAAATCAATTCCTATAGGACAGAGTAGAACTGCCCCATAAGGTTTCCAAGGTTGTAAATCTTTACAGAAGTAGACTGCCGCATCTTTCTCCTGTGGAGCTGCTGGTAGGTTGGAACCACCAACCTTCTGGTTAGCATCTGAGTGTTTAACTGCTGTGCCACCATGGCTCTTTGACAGAGTAGAACTACCCCATAGGGTTTGTAAGGCTGTAAATCTTTATGGAAGCAGACTGCAACATCTTTCTCCCACGGAGCAGCTGGTGAGCTCAAACCACCTACCTTTTGATTAGCAGCCAAGTGCTTGACCACTGCACCACCAGGGCTCCTTCTATGGGAGTAGAGTGAGTCCTAATCCTATATGACTGATTTCCTTATAAAAGAGGAGAAGATACACAGAGAGACAGAGGAAGGACACCACGCGATGCTGCAGCTGCAAGCCAAGGAACGAATGCCTGGAGCTACCAGAAGCTAGGAGAGAGGCATAGAACAGTTTCTGTCTCAGAAACCTCAGAAGGAATCAACACAGCTGATACCCTGGTTTGGACTTGTAGTCTTCCGAACTGTTAAACAATAAATTTCTGTTCTTATAAGCCACTCAGTTTGTGATATTTTGGGATAACAGCCCAAGGAAGCTAATACACATACCAATCATAAATGTGTATGCATCTAATAATGGAGAGTCTGAATACATGAAACAAAACTCACAGAACTATAGGGAAAAATAGATTAAAATTGTGGATGGGGATTTCCTCAATAATTGATGGAAAAGCTAGGCAAAAAATCATAAAGGATATGGAAGATTTGAACACTATCAATCAGCTTGACCTAATTGATATTTATAAAGCAGTACACCTAACAACTGCAGAATACACATATTTTCAAGTCCACATGGTATATTCACCTAGATGGATCATATGCTGAGTCAAAAAATAAGTCTTAATAAAATTTAAAATACAGAAACATTAAAGAGTATGTTCTCTGACCACTAAAGAATTTAATTATGAATAGGTTATCATAATACTAGAAGAAAAATCCCCAAATATTTGAAATTAAACAGCTTGCTTCTAAATAATCCATGTGACAAAGAGGAAAACATAGGGGAAATTAAAAAATATTTCAAACTGGTGATAACATATAAAAATTTATGGCATACAAAGAAAACAGTACATAGAGGAAAATTTATTGTTTTAAATGCTAATAGAAAAGAAGAAAGATATAAAATCAGTTATTTAAGTATTCACCTGCAAGAGCTAGACAAAGAAGAGCAAATTAAAATGAAAGTAAGTAATAGAAAGGAAATTATAAGAGAAAATGAAAGAAATGATAACAGCAGGAATCAATTAGCTATAAAACAAAAATCGAGAAAATAAAGTCAAAGATTAGTCTTTAGAAAAGATTATTAAAGTTGTTATACTCCTAGAACACTGATGAAGAACAAAAGCAAGAAAAGCACAAATTACCAATATTAGTAATAAAAGAGGGATATCACTGCAGCACCTACTGATATTAAAAGGAAAATAAGGAAATATTATGATTAAATTTACTAATGAATTTGACATCTTAGATAAAATGGAAAAAATTACGGGAAAGCACAATTTAACAAACCTGGCACAAAAAGGGAGCCCTGATGGCACAGTGGTTAAGAGCTCAGCTGCTAGCCAAAAGGTCAACAGTTCGAATCCACCAGCCATTCCTTGGAAACCCTATGGGGCTGTTCTGCTCTGTCCTATAGGGTCGCTGTGAGTTGGAATCAACTGGACAACAATGGGTTTGGTTTTGGTTTTTGCACAACGAGAAACAGAAAATACCAATATCCTTAAATATATTAAAGAAATGGAATTAATCAAAAACCTTTACATGAAAAAACCTCCGTATTTAAATTATTGGAGAATTCTAGCAAACATATAAGGAAAAAATAATAAATCTTACACAATTTTGTTTTAGAAATGAGATCAGCTTAACCTTGACTGATATCAACAAGAAAAGTATGAACCAATATCCCCCAATAACATAGACACAAAAATGAAATATTAACAAATATATCCCAGCAATATATAAATTATACAAATGAAAAACCCATTGCCGCTGAATGGATTCCGACTCATAGTGACCCTATAGGACAGAGTAGAACCGCCCCATAGGGTTTCCAAGGAGTAGCTGGTGGATTCGAACTGCCGACCTTTTGGTTTACAGCCAAACACTTAACCACTGTGCCACGAGGGCCCCAGTACACAATATATTAAAATACACAAATAATCAAGTTGCATTTATCCTGGAAATGTAAGTTATTTTTTAAAATTTGAAAAATCAATGTAATTCACTGTATCAACAGGATAAAGGAGAAAAATCATGATCATCAAACTAGATGCAGCAAAAGCATTTATAAAGTGTAATGTTCATTGATGTTAAAAACTCTCAGCAAATTAGCAATAGAAGAGAACATTCTCAACCTCATAAAGCTGACATTACACTTATTTTGTGCTTCCCCCTAACACTGGGAACAAAGAAGGATGTCTGCTTATACCACTCTTATTCAACATCATGCCAGAGGTCCTGGCCAGTGCAACAAGGAAAGAAAATGAAACAAAAGGCATAGAGACTGGAAAGGAAGAAGTAAAACTGCTTTTATTTGTGGACAGCATAATTTTTTACACAGAAAATTCTAAGGAGGAGACTTCTGGGCAACATGGTGCTATAGACAGAAGCACCATGCCATCCCTCCACAGCAAAGATCCAAAAAACTAAGTCAAACAGAGAAACATGTCTGTCTTGAAACACATGCATCAAATAAAGAGATAAAGAACTCAACCAAGCACCGAATGGAATAAGAATCTGACCGAGAACAGAGAGCGAGGAGAGTTACATGCAGAGGTCCCCTATCAGCTACCACAGTATGTATCCGCCATCTTGGACTCCTATTGGAGATCAGTGAACAGGGGATTTGAGAAAGCAGATTCACAGAGATTCCAGCAGGAGAAAGAACAACCGGTAACGAGCAATATACGCTTTCCCCCTCCCCACCCTTCACCCCCACTCGGCCTCCTCTGCTTACTGTGACCACAGGCTATTGGCCAGGAAGCACCGGCTTCACCCTGGTGTTGCTTGGATTCCACTCGCCCACACTGGCCAACTCTCTGAGTGCCATTTGTTGGCTACTGGT